AAGAAGAATTTAGGTTGGGTTTGGTTTGGTTTACAGACCCAAGACGGCCAGGGTTATTTTGAACCCTGGGGAAAAGCAGCCTGCTCTGAGCTCAAGGAGAKCTGGTAAATCAGAACAGTGGAGGCAAGAACAGCCTAAGGGAGGCACGGGGGCTGTTTCTATTGCTCTACGAAGGCCCGAAAGCAGAGTGTGCAAGCGAGGTAATGATCACCCCGGCCACGGTGTTTGCTTTTGCGTGCCACCAGGGCAACAGAGCCCTGCCAGCCCTCCAGCCTGCGGCGACGGGCAAGGAGAGGGTCTGCAGTCATCCGTGTCACGCACTGCAAGCCATGGCTTGCCAGAAAGCACGTTTCACCTGACACACACACAAAAAAAGTTGCTATAAATGCTATTGCTATAAATGGCAGCTGAAACACAGCAGCAAGGGGATGCCGGGTGATGAGGCCGCTGCATCTGACTTATTACCCTASGTCAAGTTATCATGCCATGAAAAGGAAAACGCTGAACTTTGCAAAGAACCTCGCAGCAAACTGCCCTGCCAGCTGCAGCCAGAGTGTTTCCATCTCGGAGCGGTTTCTATTGAGATCCCCCACATTAYTGAGACTCCATCGGGTTTCTGCGGGTTAGAGAGCTACAGAGGCCCCAAGTGTGCCCCRGGGCAGTGAGCACAGATGCGCCCGCGCAGCACCGCTCCAAGCATCCCTGTGCTCCTGCTTCCCAAGGCACCAGCTGGGTAACTCGGAGCCACCGCCGGCCGGGATGGTCATTGGCAGCAGCCGCATTGCAGGCTGCAAAACACAGCAGGAAACAGGAAAAACGCCAGTGATGCTTCCCCATGAGTGAGCGGGCAAACTCCCCGCAGTGATTTAAATCTCTTTCGGGAACAATCAGCGCTGCTGCAGGTGCAGGGGTTTGCAGCCCAGCGTGGTGGCAGTTCCTGTTCCTTGGTCCGGGAGGGATTCCTGCACTCCTGTGCTCCCTCTGCTGGTTTTTGGCCCTGCAAGACTGGCACCGCTGTGCCCTCGCACCCATTCCAGCTACCTGGGCGCTGGGGACACCCCAGGGTGGTTTTGGAGGCACCCTAAGCTGCAAGAGATGCCCCCACGAGGCATCAGCGCGGGCTGCCAAGCACCACGGCCTGGGCTGTGCCGCACTGGCCTGGTCTGCACTGCAGCAGCGCGGGCTGCCAAGCACCATGGCCTGGGCTGTGCTGCACTGGCCTGCACTGCACTGCAGCAGCGCCGGCTGCAAAGCACCATGGCCTGGGCTGTGCTGCACTGGCCTGGGCTGCACTGCAGCAGCGCGGGCTGCAAAGCACCATGGCCTGGGCTGTGCTGCACTGGCCTGCGCTGCAGCAGCGCGGGCTGCAACGCTCCACCATGCACGTCCTCCAGCGTCGCCCGCGTTGGCGACGCTTCGCGGCCCCGCTACAAAACCCTCGCTGCTCCCCGGCTTCGTGGCRGGTACGGGCAGGCAGGGAGCAGGCGGGGGGCGGCCGCCGCAGCACGGCAGCGGCAGCGGCCAGGAAGGCGTCTCGAGCGGCCGCTCCGAAGCACTTCTCTGGCTCCAGCGGCCCCGCTGCAGCCGAGCGGCGCCGTGGGAGCGGCGGCCGCCTCCCGGGATCGCTGCATCCCCCCCGAGCGCGGTCCCGAGCCGCTTCCCGCTACAAACAATAAATCCTTAAAGGGAGCACGGGGCTCGCTGGAAGTGGCTCCAGCGGCTCCGCCGCACAACAAAGCGGCCYTTCCTGAGCGCCCGTGGCTCCCTGCCCGCCGGCCTCCCTGGGGAGCGCGCAGGAGGCGCCGCCGGGAAAAACACAACCTCAAGTTTGGGGGAGGAAAGGTTAAAAACCCGCTCGGCAGCACCCTAGGGAGGCTCTTCCCGCGGGAAGGAACCGCTGGTTCCCGCACATCTGCTCCTGCTCCAGAGTCAATCCCAGCACCCAAGGGCATCCCCAGCAGGACGGCCCTGGCTCCTGGGCCTCTACAGGCGGTGCTTTGCGCCCCTCTGCTCCACGTGCCCGTGAAACAGAATCCTTTCCCAGGACACATCCCTTGAACTCACACGCCGAGCTGCCCGCTTTCCACCACTGTTTCTGGAGATGCAAATAAATGGTTAAAAACACGTAGGTGTCTCCAGTTTAACTTTCTTTAGTATCACCAACAGCTGCTTTCCCTTCAGCACAAGAAACCACAGAGCCCAACTAAGTGAAAGTGTGAAAGAACCAGAGCTCGGAGAGCAAAACTTTCCCACTTGCAGGCACAGAAAGTGACACAGGGGAAGTTTGTCCCTGGCTGAGAGCAGCCCCATTACCGTTCGGTATATCTATCAATATATCTATCTAACTAATATTCTATCTAGGATATTCTATCCTTTGGAGGCTGAAGAGAATGAGTTGGCCAGGCCACTCGGTGTCCCCAGCTTGTGTTCCACAATTGTCACTTGTCCCGCACAGGTTTGCAGCCGCGTGCGTCCCGACACGCTAATGCATGGTGAGAGGAGCAAACGCCTTTCGTTACTGCTGTTAATTCCCCAGCGAAATCACTTTTTCCCCAAATCTCCCTAAAAACACGTGAAAACACGGAGCTCTCCCAGCTTACACAGGGGGCTTCTCGGCAGATGGGGCGGCTGGGAGCCCTGAGCGGTTTCAGCGAAACTCAGCCTGGATTTCTCAACTCCTGGTATCATTTACTGACATCACGCCGCTAATTTGGGCTTTCTCTTCTCTTTACAGTTAGGTATTTCCCCCAAGAGGCCGAAACCTCTCTTTCTTTCATACAAAATTGGATTTCTTTCCTGAGCAAGGTACTGAAATGTAGGTCCCATTCCCAGAAGCAAAGTTCAGGAATCTTTATTAAAATATTTTATAGGACACAGTCGGCACATTCTTGTGGAAGAATGGGAATAAAAATGCGCCTGTTCCAGCTGACGATCCCATYGCCACCTCTCCCGAAGGGCTGCTGGGGTCCATGCAAAGTTCCTTGCACATGTGTGGGGATATCCTGGTCTTCCCAAATGGGGCCAGGAGGAGGGATGGAATCTGGGGGCATGGGGAGCAGGATTATTGCTCCCAAATACAGCATCAAGTGCATCGCTGGCTTGCAAGGAAAAGCAAGGTCATTCCTGCTGCACACACATGCGCGGAGCAGAGCTAACTGCCACGGGACAGAGCAGGAATGGGTGCATGGAAGATTCCCACAGCTGGAATGCTGGCTTCCATGCAACGTCCTGGGCTACCCCGTGCTCGGCCAGCATCACAGTGAGGCCGTTTGCCCATCCCGCTGGCACACGGAGACCTGCAGCAGCTGAACTGGTGCGAGTGGGAGCCCTTGCACCCCCTTGGCGCATGGCGCCATTAATTAAGCTAATTAAGCGCTCCCTGGGTGGTCCCGCCTGGCAGCCGCCTCCGGGGCCGGGCCGCTCCTGCTGCCGCTTCCCGCTGGAAGSGGGAAGCGGCAGCAGGAGCGGCCCGGCCCCGGAGGCGGCTGCTGGAAGGGAGGCAGCAGCAGAAGTGAAGTGCACCCTAGGCCTTGCTGCTCCCCTGTCTGCCTCAGATCCTGCAAAGCAACTCTTGGAGAGCAAAACTAAACAGCGGGACGCACACGGCAGATGTCCACAGGTGGTAAAGGAGCACGGTGCAAAAGATATTCCACTGAAAATACCAGTTTTCCTCCTGTATCAGCCCAAAAAGGGCTTTGCAAATGCCTGATTTGTGCTGCAATTGTCCCGTCTCATGGGCTTTGCTGGGGGGSACAAAATCTGCACAGATGTGTCCGGGCAGCGCGTTTCGGACAGGCTGCTGCGCGAACGACCAGGGCTGGGTCTGTAGCCGGCTCCAAAAAAGCATCAAACCGGCGGGTTTCAGGGATGAGGCTGCTTAGACACAGAAACGGCAAGAAGAAAGTCAGTCATTGTGAGAGTCAATACTCAGGTTAACGCTCCTCGAGACCATTAACAGCTCTGCAGTTGGAAGCCTCAGTGCTGCTGTGCTGGAAAAGGCCTCGATGCCCGTGATGTGCGAGAGCTGCCTTATTTTGGGGATGCAAAAAGCTCCTGATTCCTRGTGTCGGCCCATGCTCTGCCAGCAGCGCTTGCTGCCTCTCCTTGGTTGATTTTATCTCCGYGTGCGGCGCCCGTGGTCGCACTTTGGTTTTGTGCAGCAGGAGGGCAGGGAGCGGGAGCTTCCCGCGCGCTCCCGGCTCCGAGCGCGGTGGCAAGGGCACCAGCGATGCTGTTTCACTGCCACGGAAGCGGTTTTCTATCGGAACGCCTGCTGTGCAACCAGCCCGCCCCCTCCCTGGCGCATAACCAAAATATTTTGATAACCAAAAAATGTCGTGCGATGCAGCACGTTTTGCACCAAATACTAAATAGATCAAATGATGAAAACACCAAGGAGGAGAGCAGGGTAGGGGCTGGGCCTTTGCACAGGTTTTCCAGCAGCTGCCCCCCCAAAACATCCCTTAATATTTACTGTACTTTTAATACTTAAAATAATTACTGTTTTGAGAAAAATATTCCTACAAGTATTCCTACAAAAATATTCCTCGCTGCGGTGCAGTTCCGGCACGCCGGGTCCCTGCTCCCCGAGAGCTTTCTCCCTTTACAAAGCAGGATCATAAAGCAGTGACATAATCCGCGCTTGGCACACACTTCTGCTGATGTTAAGCCAGTGCCTTTCGTGGCTCTCGCCGCTGCTTTTTAGCGCACGATACAGATGGCGCAACGGGCTGATTAAATGTGCAGCAGCCTCCCAAGACACCGTTCCATTTGAAACGCTGACATTTATATTTGACATTCCAATAAGCGTGGGGCTTTTTTTTTGCTTTCTTTCTTTCTCTCTTTTTAATTAGTTCTTGCAAGGGTGCGGGTCAGGCAAAGCTGCACAAGCCATTTTCCCCAGGCTGGGTTGGGTTCCAAGGGCCGACTCCCGGCACGACTTCCCACCCCGCGTACCTTGCAGCCGAGCCCCGGGGCCAAATTCATTACGAGGCCACCCACAAGTCAAGTCGACGCGAGATGTAGGTGAATCTTCCTGCCCATTCATTCCCTTGCAGCTGCGGAGCTCTTCCCGCATGCAAGGGGTGAGCAGGAAGGCTCCGGAGCTGAAAAAGAAACGACCGAATCCGTCGTTTTGACACCAACAGCAGCCAGGATAAGCAGTGATAGTAAATAACAGTAGTAACGCTAAGGAAAAGGAAAGAAAAAGAAGGAAAACTGCACAAGATGCCTTGGTGAAGAGGTGTGATTGTTGGCAAAATGTGTCCTGTTTTAGTTTATGGGATGTACAGAGCCTTTTTATTAGGGATACTTTTTTTTGGCTATTAGCGCAGTTAAAAAAAGGACCAATTGTTTCTGCCATCTGAGAAAACTCTTGGTGGAACAGGCAGAAATCCAGGAATAATTAAGAAAATAATAGTGCACACCCAACAAGAAAAACACTATTTGTTTAAAGATGAAGTCCCTCCAGACTACTTGGTAGTGATTGCGTTTCTTGCAAAAAGGAGGGTGCGGGGAGAGGGGAAAAAAAGCCCTTCTAAATGAAAAGCAGCAGTCATCAGCTAGTTTCTAAGATCTTGAGTGGAAAAAGCTCAGTGCTGTGATACCCTTCAGTGGTAAAACTTTTTCCGTTTTCACTGCTGTTATCAGGCTTTGCAAGTTGCAAAATAATAGTGTTTTGCCCTTACATGTTTCCATCAGAGGATCAGAAGCACTTCACAAAGCATAATTAATTGAGCTCCGCTGCTCACCTGTGAGAACAGAGCAATTATTTAGTACTTGAGGTTTTTTCTTCTTTCTTATTTTTAAGTTTTTAWGGGGGGAAGGGCTGGTGGGAGTAGAAACTGCAAAAAGAGCATGAATCCACCAGCCTCTKCCCCAGTCAGTGGAGGCTTTGGCGCCGTGGCCACTCCAAAGGATGTCTGAACATTTCCTACCTCCAGACCTGCGTTGTTCCTTCGGGAAACGGGAGCAGTTCCAGCAGCACCTCTTCCCTGGCTCTCGGCTCACCGGACTCTCCACGAGCACACGCCGCTTTTGCTCCAAACTCCATCTCCTTGCGCTGAATCCTCAAAAATCACTTCTCCAAACAGCCTCTCTTCCCCAAGGCCTCCTGCTCATGGCATTCCCAGTTGGTGCCAGCGCCTTTCCCAGCGCGCCGGCTCCCAGCACTGTCCCCACCGCTTCATCGTGCATTGAGAGGCCAGTTTGACAGCAGTGGGCACCAGGYTGCTCCACATAGCGCTGCTGTGGGACAGGACCGGGCACAGGGAACCGGATTCGGCCCCTATGCAACTCTGGGCAAGTCCTCGAGGCTGCAGCACCCGCGTGCAGAGACATGGAGGACGTTCCCTGAGCTGGCGGGTTGGGGAATCGCTGCTTGTGGAGAACTCAAGTCCCACAGCAATGGAAAAATCACACACAGACAAAGGAAAGAAAAAATGCAGACCCCACTGATATCCTGTGTTAGCATGGAGCAGTAACCAATCTACAACCGCATGCTGCATAACAAGAAATCAGCTTTCACCCACGTGTATGGAACAAGCRTCTGCCACGCTCTGCCTACGCGAGGTCCGGAGGGAAGCGCTGGGGGAACCCAGGGTAAATTTAATAACCCAGGCTGCTTGCACCSAGGGTAAAGCTGAGGTTGCCCACTCCACAGCATGCAGGTTTTGTGACATTGGGATTTTGTGTCATTGGGATTTTTCTTCTAAAACCAACGCTTAGCAGATTCCACAGCTAGGAATGCCAGATGATCGCACTTCCATTGCATGGAGCAAAGCAGGGGACTTAGRTTCCTCCTAAGTCCTGCTTCCATGGAGCAGCCGGCATCTCAACCTCTGGATCCTCCTACCCTTTCTGCACTGAAATCCCACGAAATCCAACCAATCATAGAATCCTTAAGTTTGGAAGGGACCCCTAGAGATCATCTAGTCCAACCCACTGCTCCAGCAGGGACACCCRGAGCACAGGGYGGCATCCAGGCAGGTTTGGAAGACCTCCAGAGAAAGMGACTCCACAGCCTCCCTGGGCAGCCTGTTCCAGGGCTGTCACCCTCAAAGTGAAGAAGTTCCTCCTCATGTGGAGATGGAACTGCCTCCACATCTCATGTGGAGACGGAACTACCCATTGCCCCTTGTCCTGCCACCGGCCACCACTGAGACGAGCTTGGCTCCCTCCTCCCTACATCCCCCGCTCGGGTATTTGGACATGCTGATCAGATCCCCTCTCAACCTTCTCTTCTCCAGGCTAAACAGGACCAACTCACTCACTCTTTCCTCATACAGGAGATGCTCCAATCCCTTGAGTGGGGGTCCCCCTGCTCCAGCCTTCCTGCCTCCCCACAGCCCCCTCCATGGTTGTCTGCCCTCRCCACAGCCCTCCTACCCCTACCCTGACCTTCCCACCCCATCACGGTGCTCCTGCTCCGGCCCTCCAGCCCCATCACAACTGTCCCACCATCACTCATGGTCCTCCTGCCCCACCTTGGCCCTCCTGCCCCTTCCATAGCTCTTCCACCCCACTGCGGCTCTCCTGCCTCCTTCATGGTTCTCCCGTCCCTGTCTTCCCGCCTCACCACAAGCCCCTGCTCCCCTCCAAGGCCCTGCCGCCCCATGGGGGTCCTGCTGCCCCTCACAGCGCTCGCTCGGGGGGTCCCGTCCCCGCGGGGAGGGCGGCAGCGCCGCTGGGCCGGGCCGCTCCCCGGGCCGGGCCGCTCCCCGGGCCGGGCC